TGCAAGTGTAACTGAGCATCATCAAGAGAGTTGCTTACTCATCAGGCCTGAGTTGCCACCATCCATTTGGAAACTGCTATTGTTACGCATGTCAACGGGGTCCGGACGCCGATTGTGCTCGCTATTTTGAAGGTTCTGTGAATGAGGAAAGCGAGAGAAAGTGTAGCATCAGGCCCGGTAGAGGGGGAGGGCGATCGATTGCACTACTAAAGTGGTAACCTCGTCACCATTCAGAAATTACTTAAGAATTCCAGAAACAGAAAAGTCGTTAGTGTAAAATATGTTATCATTAGTTATAGCAATTTCGATAAACGTATTTCTGGGACGGACAAAGACCAACCATGTTGGCGCTAACTTTATGTCTAAATAGTACTGCGAATACTGACGGGCTACTGAAACGCTCTGAAATGAATGAATTATATTTCCGAATCTCGAGCCTCTCTGTCAACATAGGCGAAGTGACTCTATTGACCTTGTTCGATGATATTGTGGTATTGGTGCCCCGTTGAGAATAAAGGTTAGGTGAAGCTGTATACGCAAGTTCACCCATATTTTTTCGATTATGTACCCCTGGTCTTTGCGCAACGATACGTTACCATGAGGGCAACAGAGTGATGGTGATGACCGCATTTGCTGGCGGTCGTTAACCAATGATACGTCACAGTATTTCCTTGAATAAAGCCCGTGCGATTATACAAAACTCACCTGACGCAGGGCTGCATGCATATTTGAGGTGGCCCCGAAACCCGTTGTTGGTAAGGGTGGTTGTAACGGGGCGTCCAATTTGGCTGCAGCTGACCCGGCGGTTTGGTTGGCCAATACATTCACATAACGAGATCGGGCCCCGGTCCGTCCGGTTGGTGGCGAGGAGATAAGACCACCACTCGGTGGAATGGGTGCGCCGGGACTGGAGCTGGAATTAATGTTCGGGGCGGGTATCATGGGTGGTGGTGGAGGTGGGGGCTGATTGGCTTCCGGATTTGTCACATCGACCCATTCCTTGCGTTCATCATCCCACACAATCTGCAAGTGCATGAAAAGGTCAAATGAATCGAACGAGTAAATTTCAAACAAAAAATCTGACAGAGTGCAATGATGGGCAAAGATAATATACACTAAAACACTCCAGCATAATCTCCTATCAGAAGATGAGAGCAGAATTGTTGACCGAACTGTCTACAATAAAGCCATAAAAACCACCCGACAAACAAAGGATGGAGCTTTATTCGTTGAATACATGGGAATGTAGGCGATAAATCAGAACATTCCCCAAAACTGATATACCGGAACTTTATCAGCCCCGGATCGTCTGATACGGAACTTCTTGTCAGTTTATCAGATCCCTCTCAATAGTGTTCGCATTTTCCGGTGATAAAGCGTGTGACCGATGGCCAGATATTCTACGGGGAAATATTCAGTGGTGGTTGGTTTGTTTCAAGGCAACCATGAGCAGGCAACAGACACTTTTGGTTCACCCCTATTAAGCTCCCAGCTGTTAGTGGGTTCATGTTTTTTTTCTAGTACCAATGAGTAATTCTAAGGCGATCCGGAAAACAGCTAAAAAATGACAAACTATCTAGGTTGGACAGTAGTCGGTCAAAACAGATTAAACTTTTTCGTAAGCACATCCGCTCCTTAGTTGAGTTTAGACGGAATTCCCATCACAAGAAGAATGAGATGGAATGGATTTGACAATGACTGATTTTCCGCCTGCTGTGATCCTATCACTGATTGAACCGGGCAGTGCACGTGCCTATGTCGTCATTGATTAGTTGGTCAATACTAATTGTCGCCTTACCCATACACACACACTCACACAAACAGATTCGGTCTATTCTAGGACCCAGGAATCCGAATTCTGTATTTGGCTGTCCGTGCTGAATGAGTCGTTCACACGATTAGCCCTGACCAGGTTGTACGTTATGCTTAGGTGTCCCATTGGTCTATCTATCAGTTTGCTTAGCGGTTCACTTATATACTCACTTGGGTGATTTAGATGGTGAATGTTTGACGAGTCCCAAAACAGGACGAAACAGCTGTCCAGTGCTCTTTGTTGGTTATCACAAACATTTCCATCGCACCAAAACACTTGGGTGATTTTTCGCATAATTAAATTTTTAATTATTCACCCCAATCACCAAAGATACCAACTCAGCTGGGGACGAAACGTTTGCTAAACTCGAAAAACCGGTAAGTCAAACAAGGCCATGGCCATGAGAACCATTTTTTAACACTGTTATACGGCATTCTTTACATGCATGCACAACTTTGTCTGATCAATTGAGTGTTTTTTTCCTCTAAATTCGTGCAATAACTCATTTAAAGCTAGATTTATGCCTTAAGTAAAGTTGTGACTGAGAGCATTTTGATTCGTACAGGGAAAAATATTTTTATTCCGCGATCGATTTTGTCAAAACGAGAACACTTTCCTATTTACTTAATCGGGAAGATTACCTCACACACGACCGTGAAAGTAGTCCCGATCACAGGGCGATCGTGAATACGAATCCGGAAAAGTGGAAAGGAGCGAAATGCACGTGTGTCCTATGGAATGTGTTATGCTAAAAGATCCATTTCTTTTTTTGGTTATGAAGGAATAAAACCAACGCCTGAAAGGATTCAGTGAAGTGAGCAATACAGGGCGGAAGCGAAAGGATTTTCGGGGTATTTACAGCAAAGTGATGGTTTTATAAAAGGAAGCGAAAAATGACACCTTAGAAAGAAGAGATATGAAGGAAGAAAGGGTGAAGTCCCAGAATACAACGGAATGGAAAACAATTTTCAAAGTTACTGTATCGAAAAAATTCATCTCATTAGGTCTGGAAATGTTCCCAATGGCGGATTGTGGCTAGATATATGATTTGGCGAGAAGAGTGGGTACAAACAAACGGATCACTCGAATGGATAGTGGGTTTTGATTGATCAGAGCAGCACACGGATGGACTGAATCAAACGATATACTGATTGACAGCGAACAATTTGAGAAAACACAAACGAATTTCGAAGACAAAAGAAGAAAATCGAAAGCGAGGAGAAAAGCGGTTAGGCCTGAGCATGGGTTGTGCATCGAAAGGCTAATGAGCACCCGATTAACAATCCAAGCAGTCGCACACGCGCACATGAGATCAAGCCTAGTCACGTGATAGGAAAACAGCGGCACAGGATAGAATTAGATTGACACGCACCCATAAGGAGTCACAGATGATTAGTCGACAATCGGTGATCGAGGGAGAGTGAGAGAGGACGAATCAACCGAGGGCCGGGAAACAGGAGAGAAACGAAGAAGTTCTGAGAATAATCATACCGGATCAGCGATTAGATCAAAAAAAGAAAGGTGTATGATGGCATTGACGGAATGCGAACAAAAAAACATCCCTAGGGAACTGGGCCACATACTCATAGGTGTTCGTGTATTTTTTTTAATAAGTGAGAAACAAACGGACTACGAACAAATTTCAAAGAAAACAAATTCTTAATCTTAATTTAGAAGAATGACTGGTATTCGAATGTGAATTGCATCATTACAGAGACAAACGGGAAGATAAAATGATCAAATTGTCCTTTACCCACTGGAATCTATTTGGAGGATTATATCAGCTTTAGGCAGAGGTAGGTAGAAGAGAAGTCAGAATACGAGGTCCAGCTCGCATAGCATAGCATAGATTAGTGTTGTACACACGCCCTAAGCAGTCCGACCAGTTAACTATGGGAAAATGGATATAGTTCGGTATCTCGTGCAAACAACTGATAGCAGTGAAGTGCGACTTTGTCAAACAACTCCCCATGGACCACGGCAATGAACGCAGAATTGATGACTGGATCAAAAACGGCTTAAAATAGCATTTGTTTTATTCTTTCTAACTTTTTTTATTTAAATATAGTTCAATTTTCAGGGAAGGGAAGCGGCTAACCAAAGGACTGTATACAATAGAGTGGGAAAAGTTGGACGGTGGTGGCGGGATCTTAACACACGTCCTCTGGGGTGATAATCTCATAGCCTTCACCACTCGGCCACTACTGTTAGGAATTTGTTGGTGAAGAAAAGTGCACATGGCTTCGAGCGATTAAAAATCGAGAACAGTACACAAATGTAAGGCATCACAAGACTCCTATCCCGCCTAAAGGTATGACTACGCGATAGAATGGCGCCATTTAGCTACACATTAGGGCATCATTTCGATAATCCATGACTAAAGTGGGAAAAATCTCCAGTTCTCAGTTTGTTTTTACAACAACGAATAACGATGAACTTTCGTGCACCGGTTTTCATTGCTGTCTTTTATCGGCCCATTTGAATAAAAGAGCATAATGCAGATTGGGATGTGAAGAAGATAGAATTCATATAGGGTTGCCAGAATATTGAGTAGATGCGCAAGCACCACTGTTTGTGACACTCAGCGTCTAACCACCGGTTACCATAATCTCGGGGTCACCATTCAGGGACTGAGCCGAAAGCCACTTTCAGATAGAGGAAGATAGAAATGGTGGGTCTACGAAAGCAGAAGACGAGGTTGACTTAACACATTACTCTGTGATCTTCACAGTAAAGAGAAAAAGACGTAGACAGCGATTCCTGGTAGCATATGGAAAACAAAGTAGGAAAGCGAGGGAATACGTAGGAACTGGTATTCTGTTTGACAGAAGTACAGAATAACAAAACATGCTTCACGGACTCCATCGAGTAAACGCACCTAAAAATGGAATCAAGTCAAACTTGCCTAGTCTCACAAAAATTACTTCAGATTAGCAAAACACTACCACACCAGGTAGATCGCGGACGAACTAGAGCGTTCAAGTTCGAGCTTGCTTCTTCGGTAGCTTGTTCAAAAGTGTGATGCACAGAAAATTAAAGTCCTATACTTGCTAGTACACAGTCACTACGGTTTACAAGTTTTTCATAGAGCATTATCCGCTGTTTCAGTACAAGCCAGTACCATAGATTTTGTTCATAGTTTGGCCGGAAAGAGATACAGGGCGGCATGCCCACAACCGTTCGGGGTTATTTTACAGTCCGGTGTAGATGGGATAACGGTACCCTATTCGGTCTCTTTGTTGGAGGTTGCACTTTAGGCTTTTGCGGATCCAAGTGCAACCTGCAAGTGTAACGACCTTGGTAACTTGTCATTCCGTTTGAGTGAGTCATGTTCATGTCTCACTGGACCTTTTGACTAATGGTGTCTGCATTTTCCTCTCTTTCAGATTGTCAGTTCGCCCTCCCCACGGAGAACATCCTGTCTGTCGACGGTTCCAGCACATACCTAGACTCGGCCCATTTGCAGTTGTCTAGTGTATCCGTTCACGGGGGACATCCTGCTGCACACACGAGATAAACATCTCACATAAGGCAGCGGGTATATTCCAGATGAGTAGGTGGCTCATTGTAAAGCTCATCTGCACTTTCCGAAAGACAGAGTCAGGAAAATAGAGTAGTGGCCTTAAATGTATCATCGCAGTGCGGTCTCCAGATGTATGCGGTGTTTTATGGTGGAGAAGAATAACCAAGCAAAGCCCTTTGATGATGAGTAGTATATGAATGACTGGACAAGAGTTCTAAGAAGTCACTTATTATTTTTTTAAACATCTAAACTAAACTTGGCTTCAAGCTGGCTGAGTTCAGAAGCATCTAACCCACAACACCCAACACAGAATCATCCCAATGATTCTTCTAGGTTTGCCGGTCTCAAATTTAACTCCCCGAGCTGTAAATGAAATTTGTGTTTCCCAAGCAAAACCTTACCGCGCCATCAAGTAATAACGTTGATTGTTCGCTACCGCTTATTCAGCGCGCATAGGCATACTGTGCTCACGTTGAACCACCAGCTTGGCAACCGCCCGCCCATTCACGACCCGAGGACGTGCCCGGTAGAATGCAGCTCCGCTTTCAGGCACCACGATCGTTACAAGCGAATTGGCACCGCGAATGGACGCACACAGATTACTTGTTAATGGTTACATATGCAGAAAGCGTGCGTCAGCGGATGCAAAGAAGCATTTAAACAGTCACCGAAATACAAACTAAGGTC